ATATATATATATATATATATATATATATATATATATATATATATATTCTAATGTCCGAGATTTTTTTTCAAGTATGGAAAAGATAAATATTTAAAAATATTTATGAAAAATATTTATCATAAATCTTCCATGAATTATGAACTTTTTCCATAAAAGTATTTATGAAAAATGTTTTTCATAAATACTTTTAAATATTTATTATAATCATTTTTATATCTGAAAATCTCGGACATTTGAATATATATTTATAAAATATTTAATATCTATATTTCTAAAATATTTTGTAAATATTGTGTGCTGTCTGGGAAAGCGTTTGTAGCTGTAAGTGGAACCTCTCCCCTGCGTATCTTGATGACGTTGGAGAAAGAGAGAGAGGGAGAATTCTTTAATTCATCGATAGATCCATCGCATGATGCGTAAATACAGCAAATGCGTAAATTTGCGCATCATGCGATGGATCCATCGATGAATTAAAAAACTCGTCTAGAATTGGAAATCCACGGTGTAAGAAGTGCAATTAAAACTCTCGCGGATCTAATTGTCATCACGATACTACTTTTGTAGAATCAAGATTTTCGTAATACATAATATGTAACGCTACTTATAACTAGTCTCCGCGATGACAAAGTCGACTCATAGGGCGCGATAATGATAAATAAGAAAAGGAGAGATGGCAATAACGCGTCAGTTGTCGGACGAAGCTTGAACGAGAAGCGCTTTCATACTCGTAACAATGGCGACCTCCGTATTTACATTCTTCCTGTTGCTGTTGACAGCGTTGATATATCACCATCAGTTCCCACCGGCACAATGTTTGCTCATAAGAGCCGAGGTGGAACCGAATAACCGGCCGATAATAGGTAAGTTTGCGGAATCGTTAGAACAACCGAATGAATTTTCTCGAGAGAAACAGAATTTGACGACTCATTTTCGAGAATCGAGCAGGCGAGTTCGAAGTTCAACGAGAAAGAGCATCTTCGAATTCGACTCGAATGCTGATTACATTACATGTAGAGAGATCCGAATCGTATGATACAACATAATATTTAAAATCGGAACATAAGACGTCTTAAAGGTCATCTTTAAGATCATCTTTCAGACGATTTACGTATAAATTAAGGCGTTAAAGGCGTTTTAAAGATTATCTTTAAGATGTCTTATGTCTCGATTTTAATCCTAAACATTATATTGTCTGGAATTCCACCGAATGAAATTTTGATGCTACTTTCGACCTCAATATTTTATTTTAACGCTTGCTTCGATACTCTACAGTCTGTATCAATCTCTGTTGATTTTATTTAATCTATACTAGCTTTGTCGAAAAGTCCTCTTTAAAACTTACAAATGTTATTCTGTGACTGAGAAATGACTCGTCGATCGACAAGTTATTTCTCACCGGGGAGTTGTTTGCTATTTTTAGCAATTTCAATTTCCATGTATATAAGTACACATATTCTGATCTTTCAGAATATGCAGATGTTAGAAAGTTAGGTCCTTAGTATGGCTAAAATTTTGACTCGTCTAAGTTGTATGATGAACAGATTCCAGCTCAAAAATGATGGGATGAATTTAAAAATGATTTCGATGCGAATACATATCATCGTTACATTGATTCAGATTGAAATTTAAATTGAATCTCATGTGTTATCATTATTCTCACGGATAACGCCGAAACGACTTATCAAAATATATGTATGATATCTAGCGTCGATAATCACATTCTTATTAGTGTGAAAATTATCGTGCAGATAATTTAGGAGAAAAGTTGTATGTATGCTCGCCATAATAAGACGGAGTACGTTTGCTTCCAAGGTATTCTAACACAAGAGATAAGTTACGCCTTGAACAAGAAGTTCCCCGGTCAGTATCACAGCTACATCGCCGCGTCGTACGTGAAGTTCGTCGAGGGTGCTGGTGCTCGGCCCGTCCCGATCTGGTAATCATTGACAGTCGTTACTGTCTCTTACATATATGTGTTTGAATTTTCCTCGGCGATTTACTCGATAAACGCCTCTTCCTACCTTTCCCTCTTTTCAAAACCCGCGTATTCAACTTTGCAGGATCGGTGGAAATGATTCCTATTACGAGGATGCCTTGCACAAAGTGAATGGGTACGTAGCCGTGGTCATGTGCAATGAATGAAGTAATAATCGCACGTTTTCACATTGTTTGTTTTTCTAGAATTTTACATAGAAATTTCAGAAGAATTTTACATAAGAACGTTGCGACGAAAACATGTACTTTATTCGCTGTACCGAGAACGAAAAGATTATTCTCTTGTGGAGTCAAATTTTACTTCTCTTCTTTTGTGTAAAATTGACGAAAAAAACAAAGAGTTCTGTGCTAAGTGTATATTCGCGCGATTCTACAAGTGGAAAATAACTTGTTTCTTTTCAGAGTTCTGTGGCCAGGAGGTGCGACGTATTTTAATCAGAGTGATGGATACGCCGATGCAGGCGCCGCGATTTACAGGTCGCTATAGATGGAACCGCAAACGATACGAAGTTTGAATTAGACGTTTTGAATATAATTTCTTTGTCATATCTATTTGTTAATAGAATCGCAAAGAAAATTAACGACAGAGGCGAATATTTTCCGATACTCGGCATTTGCCTCGGCTTCGAGTTGCTGACGTACGTGGCGGCGAATGGTGTTGAGCACAGGACCGATTGTTCCAGTCTCAATCAGCCTCTTGCGCTGGAATTCAAGCCTAGTAATCTTTTTTGTTTTGTTCAAAAAATATATCTTGAAAAGAAATATCATGTTCACATTTTTGATCTTCAATTCTTGTGTTTGTATAACAAATTGCAAAATGTAAACTTTCTTTAAGCTCTATTCTCTCATTCTCTCATTTTTTAATCACTTAAATATTAATGTAGTTGACATTTTATATATATATATATATATATATATATATATATATATGACATCTAAAATTTATACAGATCCTACAATTTCTATAACTGAAAACCGTCTGAATAATTTCTTTCAAACATGCGCCGTTATTTATCTTGTATGTTTTTCCTCGCAAGGTACTAAATATAGAACTTTCTTTCAGATTTTAACAGAAGCAATTTGTTTAAATATGCCCCGTTGGATGTCGTAAAGATTTTGAGATTGGAACGCGTCACGGCGAATTATCACAGGTTTTGCGTCACAGAAGAGGTGAGCGTCTACTTATTAGAAATTACAAATTTTGAAAATATAAATTCGAAGACAAAATGACGTAATGTATAAACTAGATCGCGTAAATTGCACGAAGAATTAATATTGTCGCGGTATTAATTGTCTCATTGTGTACCGCAGAGTCTGCGTCGCGTCAACTTAACACGTGAATTTCGCGTGATGTCGCTCAATCACGACAAACTGGGTCAGGAGTTCATCTCCACGCTGGAGCACAAGAATTATCCGTTCTACGGTATTCAGTTCCATCCGGAGAAGAACATCTACGAGTGGAAGACTGGCAAGAATATTCCACACGGGAGCAGTGCCACTCGAGTGGCTCAGTATTTCGCTGATTTCTTCATCAATGAAGGTAAGCAATACTTCGTAGATATTCTTCCGAGATTACAATCTGTAGATTAACCGAGTACGGATTATTGATTCCACGACTCTTGCTGAGACAACGACCGAATTCGTCGTGTCTGAACTTCCTGTTTACGATCTTCATTCCGAAGATACGAAGAGTGAGGTCGAATTTTTCTTTTATGCCGCAGCCCGTAAGAATTCGCACATATTCAGCACGCCACAAGAGGAGGAACAAAGTCTGATCTACAATTATCCTGTCACCTACACAGCCCCGCATGGCTCCGCATACTTACAATGTTACATGTTTAAGAAAAACGATCGCTCGTTTTGCAAGAACGATCTATAGCATGTAAGCTTGGAGTGAATTTTATTCTTAAGGTAGAAATGTCGTTTCTTTCTCACATACAAATGTCATCTCCTCGTTCGTGTATAATATAAAGTAATTTTGTAAATGCGTACGCGCGTTTCGGACTTTCGCTCTGATAATTGTGTGTACGTGTATGTACGCGCGCGCGATATATCGATATACAAAATTACCACCCAGTTAATTGTGTGAATCTTTGCGAAACAATAATCAAGTGTTGCGACAACGACGAGTGACGGCACTGGGGAACATACACAACAAACAAAAAGATAGTACGCGTAATTTCCACATTTAACATAACACCAGTGTATATTGTGTCACAACTGGGATACATAATATTACAATGGTGCATAATAAAATTCTATACATATTTCGTTCTATCTAAAGTAAATCATATTTACTCGTATCTCTCGCTCGCTGTCACTTCCCTTCTCTCGTTCCATCGGGTTCCCGCTCCGAAGCGAGGCGTCACTATTGATTGATTCACGTAGTGAACGAGTTATCTCGTCTGAGAAGATCAAAATTACATGTCGTTTACGAAGCATAACAGTGTGTAATGCAACAACACCGCTTTGTCGCAAATAATGCCGCTGCTCGCCTCGAGTCGGAGACGGGCGCCCGGAGACCTGGTGCTTGCTGACGTTCACTATTCATCCCTTTTTATCCCTTTAAACAAGCCCGAAACTAAACCTCTTAAAAGCACGAACCAACTCTTAGTTTTTATTCTTGTAACGTATTATAGTATTATCATTAATAATAATTAATAGTAATTCATATAAACATTATTTCTATCTTTATTCCTGTTACATGTATAGTAATGTCGTTTCTCATAAGGGTGATGCCGAGGTCAATATAGCAGACAAATTATTTTTTTTTTTAATTCCTCCCGTTTTCTACCTGTTTCCCCCTTTCACTCTTTACACTCGGAAATTTCACTCTTTATCTCTCGGAAGTACATTTCCCCTTCCTCCGAGGAAACATGGGTTTGTGGTCGTGTTTGCCCCCCTGGTGATTAACTCATACTTGTGTATGTTACACAGTATATATACATAATGTATATAAGCATGAGCAATATATATATTATACATATATATTTGTCTATCCCGTATAAGTTCACGATGGGTCACCTCTTTACCCATCTCTTTATCGCCAGCTCTCTTATCACTCTCCTTCTCACTTCTTTTCTTTTTTTTTGTCTCGCTGAGGATATAACAAAGTTCTACGACGTATGTTTCTATATGATCGATGCCATTTATGAGGTTAACCCTGCAATACACTCAAATTTTGCCCCGGTTTCATTACTTTAAATAGTAAGTATGATATATCTCTATCCGCTCGTATATACCTATATAGTAATATATATATATATATATGTGTATTTATATATATATATTTATATATATCCGAGATTGCGCCACATCTCGAACATCTCTCTCATGACGTACACGCGTATGCGAATACGCGTTAATAAATCTCCTCTTTGTATATAATGCCTATCTGTGATATATAATTATATGCTATTAATATTATACATAATTATATTTAGCGCAAACGGCGACAACAGCGCGACGATCGGACCTGCGATCTCATCTTCATTTCCTGAAAGTCGCTCTCTCCCTCCCTGTCTCGCATTTGCAAAAATTATCGACAAAAATCACCGACAAAACTCACCGACGACCACCCGCAATGCGACCACAGCCGCGTCGCACTGTCGCGTCTTCTTACCACTTCTCTTTACTTTTATCTTAACGGTAAATATGAAATACATGGCCTTATACGACGATCGCTTAGTGTTGTAGTGTTTCTACCCCTCTTTCCTCTTAGTGGCGAATCATACAAAATTGGGATCGTTAACCATTGTGAATTTAAAGCAGGGGAATTAAAAAAAACAAGTGAAACCGTTATTCTCGTATTACACGTTAATTTAAGATTTCAATTCACACGAACCTCTGTCGCTTTCAATCCTCTCGCTACGTGATTGGTCGAAAAGCGATCGCGTACAGATCAACACGACAACATTAAACATAGCTACACTATTCTGTGGTCATACAACATGTCCATAAGAAATCTGTACGGTCAGCTAAAAACGTTCTCAATACTTGGAAGAAACGACAACTATGGCCAATCGTCGTTGCTAACGAAAGGATTAAAATTTGCGTCTGCAGTTCGTGGTACATTTAAGGTCCGGTATCAGTGGTAATCCGTTATTTGCAGGTGTCTGTCTCTGTCTCTCAAGCGGCTGAGCCATATTGCACTCGACCGTAACAGCTAATAAGATTATATTCGCTAATAACTAAGTAAAAGCATAATTATCTACAACATGAATTCACGCTCGAACAAAATCGAAGATTTTCTATTACTGCCGAAACGCACACTAACGAGCTATAGATCATTCTGTGACTCGTATGTATCAACAACTTATATCGCGACAATACCGGGAAAGTATCTTGATGAAATTATTAGGACTAGTATTTACCATTCTGTGTGTAATTACTGAGAAAAACGATATGCTTGTCCAACTTATACAAACTTTCGTATCGGTTTTTAATGAATAATATACTTAATATACAGAGTGTGGCAAAATCGATGGTACAAGGAGTATTTGAATTTTCATGCAAAGATAAAGCGCATTGATAAAGAATAAAATATATTAAATATAGAACGGAAATAAATATTTTTTTGCCGCGACGTTTGACGTTCGATAAAAATAATATTATAGAAATATTAATCTTTTTTTCGTTCCTTCTTTTTAGACTTATTTGATTAAAGCTTAATTTTTAACAATTTCTGTATCGTTGATTCAATCAAGGAGGAAAAAATTAAATAAAATTTCAAATTTTGTACTCCTTATATAAATCACAAATATAATAAATGAAACAATAATTTATAAACAAAATAAATAAATATTATATAGCACGAGAGTAAATATAATTTGTAAATAAATACTGAATTATTCAATAATTTATATTGATAAATGTAATTTCATTGATTGTTATCAATATTATCTTTATAAGTATCACTATCATTTGTTGTCAATGAAATGTTAGTTGTTTTATCATAGAAGATGTCGAGAAATTTTATTTGATCTTCACATGAAAGATCGTCTCAATTTCGGTTATACCATAGATTGAATCACACTCCATATGAAAGTAGTCATATACATTGAGCCTATCCCAACTGCAAAATTCAAAATACCACTCCGAATCTGAAATGAAACCGCCACCGAATTCTTACCAAAAGAAAAAAATTAATAATGTAATTGATACGCTTTCTGTAACGCATTGCAGCAAAATAATGCTGAGAGGTCAATAACTAACGTTAAGCAACGTTGGTCACGACTGTTAACCGCCACTATAATACTCATACATCGTCACTATACTTTGATTTGTTTGAAAAATCACCTCCGTGACGCCGATTTTCGTAACGCTGCTAACAGCGAACGCATTTTCTCAATCGTATTCGTGTGAAATCAAAGTATTGATTATAATTCAATGCAAATTCGTCGTGGACATCGTAATTAGTGCCTCTCTGTTAAAATTACGCGATAGTTACTTAAAATATGTAAAATTACCGCGTTCTGCCTGTCACGTAATTACAAAGTTGTCCCTCGGACACTACGCTTTTCTCGCATAGATTTGGAACGTAAACACGCATGCAAGATCGTTACCACAGTCGACATACTTATCAAGTACAAGCATAAATAAGCGAAACCAAACCTTTGGGAAATACACCATGCTTGTCGCGAGGAACAATCGATGTTCCAATAGCGCGTGTACAACCGCTGTACACCGTATCGTCCCAAGTTTCCTTGCCAAACAAAAATGGTGTGTACATGTGTGTGTACGTGTATGTCTACTGTGCTTTCTCCTGCTGCTATGCCCCGCTGCTGTTGCAGACGCGTCCACCCAAAACACCGATGATCCTCGACGACGGCGTATATATAATCCATTGTGATCCAGCGGTCATTGCGAGGAAACGATGAACGGCGCACAACTCCTTCACCGACTCTTCAACACAATCGTGTACCTTAAGTATTACGCGCACATATATATATATGTATATATCACGCACATGTATCAAATTCAAATGCATCCTCCCTCCTCTTCTTCTCCTCTTATCCATCGGTATCTTTTCCCTCTGCGTATCCTTTTCCTCTGAATTTGGTTTTTTTGTCTTGTTTCGTATATTTTCTTAGTACGACGTTAGTACACCCGGCGGAGTGGGCACGACCACCGTGTGCTGCGGCACCACCGGGGGTGCCGGCGGTGCCAACGGGTGTCCCACGAGCACCGCCGCCGCCGGTATTGGCAGAACGCCGGATTGCGGTATGGCCGACGGGGTGCTGACCTGCGTCGGCGGACCCTCGGCCGCGTGTTTACGCAGATGTCTCAGCATATTGCCCTTCTCGACGAAGGTCTTGCCGCAATCTGGGCAACTGTGCGGTCGCTCGTCCGAGTGCGAGCGTCTGTGCGAGACCAAGTGTCCTTTGCACATGAAATCTTTGGCGCACAGGTCACAGCGGAACGGCCTCTCGGCGTTGCTGCCCTTATTGTGCGAGCGCATATGAAATAGGAGATTGCCCTTCAGCGGGAAACTTTTGCCACATTCTGTGCACACAAATGGACGTTCACCAGTATGGCAACGCATGTGATTCACGAGATGTTCCTGTAACAGAAAATTTTCAGGCATATGAATTACTGCCGATTGGGCGCGATGAGCGTATTGAAGAAGCAAACAAACTCGGCTTCTCTGCTGTAAGTATCGCATGCATGAGAGTTCAACAAAGACGAAAGTAAAATTTCACAGTGAACAAAATCAAAGAAAGTAAAAAAACTGACAATAAATGATAGCATGACGTTGAAGATAAGATATCAATGCAATTATATTAAAACTTGATCGAGGACTTGAGTGAAAAATTTATCTGTAAAAATTAATGAGTGAACGTACCTTTCTTGTGAACGGCTTGGAGCACACGTTGCAACAGTGTGAGGAATCTCCGGTGTGCTGACGGAGATGATTATTGAGGTGTTCTTTCCTGGTGAACGTCCTCTGGCAAAACTCACACCTGTGTGGAGATTCGCCAGTGTGGATGCGCACATGATTCGTCAAATGCTCCTTACGAGTAAATGACTTGGAGCAGAAGTGACATCGGTGTGGCGATTCGCCTGTATGTTGACGCACGTGATTGGTCAAATGTTCCTTCCGCGTGAAGGATTTGGTGCAATACTGGCACTTGTGCGGTGACTCACCCGTGTGCTGCCTGACGTGGTTCACCAGGTGATCCTTCCGCGTAAATGCTTTCGGACAGTATTGACAGCGGAAGGGCGTCTCCCCTGTTCAACATTTTACAACGAGTTCGCAACTTTTAAGAGAGAATTCTACAGAGTCATTTAGAACGTGGTGTTATCCTGCACAAGGCGAGTTTGCCCGATGCAACGCACAGAGAAAGAGAGAGAGCACAATATCGAACACATTGTGAATTAATGATGCGGCTTATTTAATTTTATTGTCGCGTTCACTCGATTAAAGAAAATTAGGACGTTATTTGGAAAGCATAAATATGTTATTTTTTGTATATAAAACAATTTAATATATATTAAGACTGTTATATAACGAGTAATTGAGTTTGCATCAAATTTAAACGTAAAAGGAATTCTACAAAGAGCCGAGCAAAAAACGAGATACTAAATTCTGCATGATAAAAAAAAATACTATACATGGTTGACTGCTTACTCTCTTTCCGAGATTTAAATTATTTATTAAGTAAAATCGGACATGTATTGACGTTAATAATTCAATATTGAGAAACTCAAGACTGTTTGTCTGATATATACAATTCCAATAATCGCCGAAGGAAATACTGAAGAATGCGTGAAGAAACCGCATCGTAAATTCATTCGATATCGCCCTGTTCTTACGTTGCATCGAAGAAAAGTCAGCTTGTACAGTGATGTGTTAGCACTTCGATACCTTCGATATATATTCTCTAATTTCATAAATAAAAATACTGCGATATGCTACCATTACTTTGTGTAAGCGTGAAACTCTCTATTCCGCGATATTATTAAGCAAATACATGTACTGATCTCTCTTCTTGAAATTCAACGTCTACTATCAACTAGATAACACTCTATATAACGTTGAAATTAAACGGATCTCGAAACTCGTGTCGCCCAACGACAGCGAGGTGAAGCTGACTGACGAGCAAAGGAATTATTTACAAGTCTCTATCGTGAAACACAAGACTAGACTGATAAGATTTTTGTAAGTAGGGAAATGCGAATTAGTCGCGAACATTTATCAAAAAAAAAAAAAAAAGGGAGAATGTACGAGCACGCTGAAATAGCTGTTAATAAGAGGCACGCATGAGAGCGGTGTATTAGGCAGAACAGCAGATATTGTTTGTACGAGGCGAGGGAGGATTCTATGATGATGTGGGATCTCATGATGATCTGACCAAGTTAGACGCGACGTGATGGTAAACGTTAAAGAGACGTACGTACGACGAGCGACTGTATGAGTGCCACGGTGAAAATTCATGGCGATTCACCCTCTAAAACAATACGATCAATTCCCATGCAAGTGTCTGATTGTCAGCTAAATACGTCACACACATATACACGGCGTCTCCCTCCTGGATGAAATTCATTGACGGCAGAATCCTCAAACGTTATTGGAGAAACTAGGATAACCGGTGAGAGGGAAGTACAGCGATCTCAGTGCAGTCGCTAAAAAGCGGCTGAAAATGACGGTGTTTTCTCGCGATTTAAACTTCTGGATCGACAGGACACTCCATTCTTCGTTCAATTGCGACCGGGACGAGAGCTGTAACGACGTTTCCACTTAATCGTCAGTTCGAAAGAGATTGGAAATCGAAAACGGGAGAGGCGTGGCGGAACGGTAAACTGCCTTCGACATTCTATATCTCCGAATTCGTCGAAGATTCTGCCGTTTAAAAAGCGAATTCGCGCTTGATGGAGAGAGACAAGGTACCCTGGAAAACTAGATCGAGATGTGACAAGACCGGAAGCGTGATGCGGAAATGCGTGTTTCGACTCGCGTTTAATCCAACTACCTAAAATGCGCTATATGACACTACGTACAAGATGACTCTCGGAATTTCTAACTGATCTCTTAATTCTATCAGAGAGACTCTGATCCTCTTTCTTTTCTCCGTTTCCCTCCGTGTGTCTTCTCTCTTTGCCTTTCTATACACGTATATATATACGTATATATATGCATGTATATGTATGTATGTGTGTATATATATATATAAATAGACCACGAAAATACAACTACTCTTAATAGAGACAAAATAGATAAACGATTATCGGTTGCCCGTGAAGTGAACATCTGCCAACCGCTCTCACCTGTGTGTTGGCGGATGTGGTTAACAAGGTGTTCCTTTCTGGTGAACGATTTGGAGCAGAAGCCGCATCGGTGTGGAGACTCACCCGTGTGCTGGCGAACGTGGTTGAGGAGATGCTCCTTTCGCGTGAACGTCTTCGAGCAGAAGTCGCAGCGGTGCGGCGTCTCGCCCGTGTGCCACATTATGTGGTTCGTGAAGTGCTCCTTCCTCGTAAACGACTTACCTGCATGGGACGGCAGCGTACAAATAGAAAAAACCAAAAACAGATGCATTTCAATTATATTGCGGATATGCGAGATGTGAGATCGGTGATAGGTCGGTCGCGAGAGTTCGCTCTCTTTTTCTCTTTTATGGTAAACGCGCGCGTGGGACGATTCCAAAACGGATTATCGATTCGCGATAATCACGACAGGGCGATAAATAAAAGGAAAGAACGCACAGTTTCGTGATAGTGTGTGGCTTGTGCTATTCTCGCTGATGCGGGTAACGAGCTTGTTGCGCGAGCTTCCCCGAAAACGCTTCGCCCTTTCCGCCATGCGGAAGTTCTTTAAAAAAAAAAAAAAAAAAAAATAAGCTATACCAATCATAGAACCGTCTTGTTCTTTGTCAAAACGCGCGTATAAACGTGTGCGTGTCTCGTGAAAAGTCGCAGAAAATCGCGACGCAGAGCGATCTCCCTGTTCGAAAAGTCAGACGCGGTCAACGTGCATCTGTATGTATACAAGTATCACGTGACATGTATATACCGGCGCGCATGCTTGCAACTCTGTCGAACGAAAATACAAATTTCGAATTTCCCACTTTGCGAATTTCGCTTCGCTCGCGTCGCGATCGGGAGAGAATCGTCCACGACTGACACTGTCGAGCAGCCCGATCAGCTTCCTGGACACGCGGAAGGTCGATACGTGCGAATTCGACCGCACTTTGTAGCAAGGCGTCGGATTTGTTGCAACATCCGCGCAAAGGGCGAACGGAAACGCTCTCTCGCTCGCCGGCGCGCAGCAATTCGACGGACATCGGGGTCGAGATAATCGAGAAAACACGTACGAAATCCCGCCCGAGCACCGTTGCAATTATGCATCCAAATAAGAGCAACCAAGTGCGGACGACGCGGGGAGCAGGATCGAGCTCGCTCCGACTCGACGCAGCACAAAGAATCGAAGGCACCGCGGCAAGGACGATGCGTTCCGGCGCACACAGAGCGGTCGGGCGGAAAGCCGCGAAACAAGCTGCCGCGTAATGAATTATTATTTGGCCGTGAAATTGGCGCATGCAAAAGCGAAAAAAATACACGAAAGCTGGACTGCTCGCGATATCGGGACTCAGGTGGAGTGAAAAATGAGAATGAAGAAAGGACGAGAGATAGGGCGAATGAGGGGGCAGCGGAGAGTCTCAATACAAACCGCTCAAATTTACGAAATAGCAAGTCATGCCATCACAGTTCACGGCCAGACGTTGGGTGCGAAATAAAGGGCCCCTTGTGGTGGAGCCGGCCGGCTGGAGGCTCGCGCGATTCCCGAGGACTGAAGAGAAGGAAAAGGGGTCCCGTCCGCGGGCGGGTAGAGACGGGTGGGCGGGT